ATTGAATAAACTTGTTCAGAGAAAGGATATTAGAACCTGAATTTTTGGCATAGGTGATTTTAAACATAGATGTATTGAATGCACAAAAAAATATTCATAAATTATTTTGTTTTTGAATATTGAAATGTAAAAGAATCTCAAGTTTAGGTTACAATCGAGCATTCATAAAATATTTATCTGACGGTAAATCATAAATCCTTAAAAATATTGAGCAAATAATATTTCCTTCTTTGTCCTTGCATAAATTTATACAAGATCTTCAAAAAGATAGTTTATAGAGAAAACAGGTTGAGACTAGACAAGTGCGGGACCAGTCCCGGTCCCGGTCCCGGTCCCGGCCACCGGGACCGGGACCAAAAAATAGAATTTTACCGGGACCGGGACCGGGACCGGGACCAAAAAATAGAATTTTACTGGGACCGGGACCAGGATCGAAAAACAATTTAGTCCCGGTCATGTTTGCCGTTGATAAGAAACATCGGCGGAAATACAAGTGAGAACTGCTCCAGATCTAAAACCGGCAGATTCCGCAACAACTTCTCTGACTATGGACAAATAACAGAAAAAGTAAGGTTACTTAGACTGGGTGTAGAACAAAAACCAAATTTAACACATTCGACGCGATTCGGTTTTATTAAAGAGTAGCTCTAGAGATTCATTTTCGTCTGCATTCATCTTACGATAAATGCATTGCTTGGTCTTTTCATCCTATGCTGATCTGTCGTTTTCTCTTTTCCATTTGTAATATCACATGTAGCGAAGTAACCATTCTGTAGTTTGGCGAAACCCCTGTGAGGTCATTTCAGCATGACATGCCATTCGAGAAGTTGAATCAGCAACCCAATTCAAGCGCGAATTCACTAATCGCAAGCTCGAAGAAAAGGAAGGATTTAAGGGCAATGTCCGCAGACGCTGTACTGGCTGCTTTGCGAAAGGAAGGGCACAACAGTCAAGAGAAGCGAGCTATGCGGTAGCAAAGAAAGTAAAAACGTTCTGTTGTGAGTAACAATTTTTTTTGTCTTGATTTTTTTAACAAGACCCATCATGCTATGGAATAACGGACACAAAAAGAGTTCTGAAGGCAGAACAGATAAAGCTTTATGTTCAACCTTCTGTCTAAGAACAAAGAAAAATAAAGTACTTTTCTATACAGTTTCTCGTTAAAATGTAGCGGGGCTCACTGTTAGGCCACATCGTAGCGAATGTGTTAACTGAGCCCAGGACTAAAAAACAGAATTTCACCGGAATCAGCAGCAAAAGGAAAATTTCCACCGGGACCAAAGGAAATTTTCCACCGGGACCGGGACCGGGACCAAATGAAAATTTTCACCGGGACCCAAACCGGGACCAAAAAAAATTTACCGGGACCGGGACTGGACCGGGACCAAAAATTTAATTTCACCGGGACCGCGAGCGGGACCGGGACCAAAAAAAGTTGGTCCCGCACTTGTCTAGTTGAGGGTGGGTGTGGGGTGTGGGTGGGTGTGGGTGTGGGTGTGAATGTGGGTGTGGGTGTGGGGTGTGGGTGTACAAAAGGAAGACTCGTCCACACTCACACCCACACACCCACACCCACACCCACACCCATTCGTTATTAAATGTACTAATTGAACGTTTATCGTACTTTTTTGAATCATGTCGTGTAATAATTTTTACTCTTTTGATCATTTTCATGTTCGTTTCTTATACTCTTTGTAGAAGAAAAGTTAAAAGGTAGAAAGAAAAGGAAAAAAGAAAATTGCTTATTCTCGTCTACATCTCATTACAGATCATTTTATTGGAATAAAATCAACTCACCTGCATGAATTTATAGTCAAAAATGTGCAGGAATGTTGAGATCAATGAATAAATCTAAAATGAAATCTAAATCAGAATAATATCATTAATTTAATTAATAAGTGGTGCAAAAGTCTTTGGAAAAATGTCAAAGCCTGTTAGACAATATTGTCAACATCCGAACCAATCAAATTTTTTTTTGTTAGAAAGAGCAATGTCTGAACCACCAATTTTGTAGCAGTCATATTTTTCCAGAACGAATCTGAGACGGAAGAAAAGCCAAAAACCAAACATAGGGTAAAAAGTCCTTGCAACTTTACCATCGAGCAACATCATTTTCTATTTTCTGTTAGTTTTTTTATATTAGAAGAGGAATGAGAAAGCATGGTCAATAATGATTTTTGTAGTACAAAGAGTGCTATTTCTAATGGTGTATTGGCAGGTAAATTAATTTTTAGTTTTTATATTAAGAAATAGCTTTTTCTAGGGGCGACTGAGTAATTTGATCGTTCCCACTACTTGGTCATTTTACAACGATAAAAAAATATTTTTTTGAATACATTTTTCCGCTAAAATTCTACGATTAGTGATATTTCGACCAAATAATGCGAAAATAATTCAGTTCATGCGTGATTTCTGGAGATGGTAGCTGATATTTTTGTAAACTGATGGTTCTTGCAAAAGGCTCAATTTTGCAAAAACTTCGTGTTTCAAACTTTTGTGATAAAAGAGTCAAAAATGGATTCAAAAAATTTCTCAAAGCTGATTATCGATAGAGTATTTGATGCGCTACATTTTGGTGTATTTTTCTTCCAAATTTGACCCATGTAGCTTAGAATAACTGAGAAATACAGACTTTTCAAGTTGAAAAAGCGTTGCAAGAACATTTTTACCCCATGTTTGGTTTTTGGCTTTTCCTCCGTCTCAGATTCGTTCTGGAAAAATATGACTGCTACAAAATTTGTGGTTCAGACATTGCTCTTTCTAACAAAAAAAATTTGATTGGTTCGGATGTTGTCAATATGGTTTAACAGGGTTTGACATTTTTCCAAAGACTTTTGCACCGATTATTAGTTTCGATGCACAGTAAAATCAGACTTTTCAAGGATGATCAATGAAATTAATAATAATTCAAGCAACTCACGGAAAGTATGAATTTCGCTCTTCTGACTTTGACAGTGAACTTTCGACAATTGCCAAAAGTCCTGTCATACATTAGAAATTTATTCTTCTCCCTTTCTAGTGTTTCTCTGGAACGGCTCAACGAAAAATGATGAAACTTTCAAGGTAGAGAGATTTCAATCAGTAGAGCAAAAGTTATCATAGATTCAAAATTTCCAAATTCTTTTTTCAGAAAGATATGGGGCTTGTAGTTGTCAAAAATTACCGGATGTTTTCCCCGAGCGAAAACTCTTTGTTTCATTCTTTTCGAACTGCATTTTTTTAATGACAACTAGGATTAGATTGAAGCGTGTGTTTTTTTTTCTTTCAAAAATATTATTATTAGAGCTTACGAGAAGCAAAATACTGGAAACACCATCAAAAGCAGTATTGTTTTTTTCAATGATACTAATTTTTTAAAGGCTGCCGAATTTCTTAGAAACAACATTTTGACGAAGAAAAAAATGTATTCCAAATTGACTGAAGTACTCATAAGAAAATTTGAACCCAATCGAACATACTGTGTGGAAGAAAAGGAGGAAAAGTGCAATTTTTTTTAACATGTATCTTTTTTCTTTTTGGCTCTTTTTGAATTATCACAGATTATCATTTTTTCGCATCAAATATGAATATTAAGAGCTGCTTCTAAGAAACATTCGTAGAATTAGTAAACAAGATAAATTTACAAGATTGTCTCCTAAAACAAGTAGACTTTTTTAAGATAGAGGTTCTCAAAACTAAGCTTTTTGGGGGCTTATAGGGCTTTGTACAGTTCTAATTTTTACGGTACTTGACAGAGAACATTTCAATACGTCTTTAAAAATGAAAACTTCGAAATTGAAAAAAATTTGTGTATCAGGAAATGAAGGTTCTCTTAAGCACATTCTTCTAGTGAGCATCTATTATGATGTCGAGATGTATGCTTGTGTCTAAGTTTTTCTCATAAATATAAGTTCTACTATCCTTATTATATAATGTTTTGTATTTTAGCATCAATGGCTTTACTCAATTTTCATTCGACAACTATTGTGGTACAGCCTTATACTCATGGTAAGGCCTATTTTATACTAGATTTGCGAGATTTGTGATGGAAGAATGTTTGGAAAAAAAGATTGCATGAGAGCTCAAGTGTAATACTCACCGTATTTATTCGTTGTTGTATGAGTCACATGTTCGTCTGAATAATAAAAATTGTTAGCGCAATCCCTTGTGGGATTAAAAATGTGAAACACGATGGACTTATTGTTACTAATTAAATGGACATCGTTTTGTTCTAAGATACTTACAGTTTGTCATGTGCCTATACTACGAAATTTCATCAACCTTTAATTTTCTTTTTTCGTCATGGTTGAATGGAACACTACTATTTATATAAGAAGAAGCAATATCACACACATTCAAAAGCAATTTGATAGCAATTAATTTTTTTTGTTGATTACCCTTATAATTAAAAAAATGTCTTAGACTTTGTAGAATTTGCTTTTTAATATGCGTGATATTGTTTTTTTCTTATGTAAATGGTCCTGCTCCACCCAACCATAACGAAAAAAGGGTGACCGATCACTTCGTCGCACGACACTTCGTCGCATTCACTTCGTCGCATTCACTTCGTCGCACGATCACTTCGTCGCACGACACTTCGTCGCACGACACTTCGTCGCAGAATTTTTTCTTTCTGTTCGTCGCAGATAAATTTCTTTCGTTCTGTTCGTCGCAGATAAATTTCTTTCGTTCTGTTCGTTGCAGAAAAAATTCTTTCCTTATGCTCATCACTATCCATTCGTTGCATATATCTCTTAATTAGTTTTTTTTAATGAAAGATGTAAAATCGATGAGTTCGCTCATATTTATTTTGCACAGAATACAAAAAATAATGATGAACAAATTCAAAACAAAAAAAAAGAAAAACCAAAAAAAAAGAAAAACCAAAAAAAAAGAAAAACCAAAAAAAAAGAAAAACCAAAAAAGAAAGAAAAATCAAAAAGAAAATAATCTAAAGAAAAAGAAAATAATCTAAAGAAAAAAAAATAAAGAAAGAAAGTAATTTAAAGAAAAAAAAATACCTAAAGAGTAACATTGGCTGCCATATTTTTTAAGAATTCATCCAGTTGAGATGCGTCGAATCCGTTGACCAGTCGATTAATACGTTCGTCCAATTTTCGATAGCAGGCCTTTTTCGTCTTAATAATGTGACCTTGAAGAATCTTCGCCATGTCCACTTCAAATTTTGATTGTTCACGACGAATTTTCTCCGCCAATTTCACAATATTTGGATGATTTAATGCAACACGGTTAGCAAATGCATTGTGCCAACCTTCCACCGAATTATTGGATCGAGGTATCGTAGCGACGACACGATCATAAACGTTCCATAATTTATGGTCGAATTGAGGATTCTTTCGACCAGCTCCTTAAAAAGTTCGGTATATTAGAAATTTTTCAAGAATTGAGAAAAAAATTACCTCTTCTTCTTTTTTCACCAATCCATGTTTTTTCAAAATAATCGAGTAAATCGTCGGCGTCATCGTCGAATTGATCACAAATTAAGGCAAAGCCAGTGATAACTTGATCTAGTGGAACAAAAGCAAGAGCAATTAATTTTTTTACATTTAAGCGAAAATACTCATCCTCATTATATTTGGTTGTTAATCCTTTGCTTTGAACTTGTCGCCATACCGCTTGTGAAAAATGAAAGAGACAACCTATAAAAAAATGTTTCAATTACTTTTTTTATGAATAGATTAGAAAGTACCTTTGTGTAACACATTTGGCAACATATCTTTCACTGATTTGATTGTGCCAGTTTCGAAATCAGTCATAATTGATTCAGGTTGGAAGTTGTCTTGTACTAAAACTTTTTCGAAAAAAAAATTATAATCTTCTGAATTTTTACCAATTAATAACCCATAGACGAGAGGAATAATTGCATTGGTCATCATCGCGTGTAATGTGAAGAGTTGATAATAATCATCAGGACACACCTACATAAAAGAAAATTAGAAAAAAAAAAGAGACACATTTAATTGATAGCCTACTTTGAATGTTCCATCAGCGAACCAATGTTTGTTTTGCTTAAGAATGGATAAATTAGTTTTTGTTGTGAATATAATTAAATTTTTGTCTTCGTGCAAGATGAAATCTTCATCACGATGTCTTTCTTAATCTTTCTGGTAAACGACCATTAACATCGACTGTTTCAACAGTACGTTGTCGTCTAATCATTAGCATAAGTGCTTCATTTCTTGGAAGTTCACCAGCGGCACTTAATGGATATGTACGTAAGGCGGAATGAATAATTGAACTGGTTGGTTCATCTGTTATCACAGCACGAGCTTTAATATCATTTTTTAATTGAATAGCTGGAACACGATCAGGTTGTGGAGCATGGGAATGGGTTGTTGGTTGGGAGAGAATTGTATCCATTGATAAATTAGTATGACAACGAGCTTAATTGATAAATGATTTTCATTTGAATTAATTAATTGATGTTCAATTCGAACTTACCTTTACAATCTCGATTCTGGCACCGAAGAATTAATTTCGTCGTCATTGTACGTTCTACAGTGTAGATATAACCATCATGAAGCATCATTGGTTTTCCTTTTACAGAAAGGAGTTTCTCGATTTGAGACATTTTGCTTAAAAAATAGTGTGCTGTGAAAGTTGAAATTGAGAAGTGAAATGTTTCTTTTTTTTATCTGACTTGGCCCCATAATTAAGGATATTGGATCAGTGTTATCTTTAGTTTAGATTATGCTGAAATTCATTAGCCGAGTAACAAATTTAATTATTCATCGCTCGCTTTAGCTCAATCCCGATTGTATTGGAATAGTATTTTTTTTTTTGTTGATCCGTTTTTCCAATTAATCATCTCGCGCTATTGTACATATCTCTTGTAATTTTTCATTTATTTTATGCTATTTCCATTGGTTATTAAAAAAAAAAGAATTAATTAAGAGCGATGCAGCAAGTAGGCAGAAACGAACAAAACGAA